TTGGCTATGCGAATTCGAAAAACTTACTTTAATTATTAGGGGAAAATAAGCTTCGTCAAACTTAAATCAATAAAACAAAAACCAAAAAAATTGCAAGGAAAACCTGGAAATTAATGCAATATGCATTTCAGTGTTATTTCTTATTTATCAAAAAACGAATTTTTAACGTTTTCATTTGAAAATTATAAATAATTGGCTACATATTTCTCTGAATTTATAAAACTACGATTAAAAAATACTTTAAGAATTATGGTATAATTATGCTATAAGAGTTATGACATTTTGATTTAATACAATTACTTTTGCTTAATACAAGTGTAGCTATTTTTATTTATGTGGACGCGCATTGACCTTTCTGCCTCAGGTGAAAAAAATATCTTGGCACGGCTCTGATAAGCAATTAAGATTAGAAAAATATGCACAAAATTAGTAACAATGCAATACAAAACCCTTTTCTGTTTTGGATTTCCAGAAAAAAAATCTTTTTTCGTCTAACCAAAGCATGGACACCAAAACGTGTTCCTTCCTCCGTAAGGGCAAAAGCAGCCCATCTGCTTAATCGCCTCTAGGCGGTAATCAAAGGACACCATCACTTAAGTGAAACGACTTGACAAGAGGGGGAAGAAAAATCTAACAAAGGCCGTTTTCAGGACAATTTTGGTTTACTCCAAGTGAAAAAAAAATTGTAAACATGGTTAATTTTTACTGCAGTTTTCGAGACGTAAATAGATTTGAATGCGAGCTGCCCGGTGGGTTAAAAAGTACATTTATAAATGGTCACGAAATGAGTAACAAATGCATGGTTGGAAATGCCATATGAACTGATAGTTCAAGTTTTTAAAAACAGCTGCATCATTAATAAACTGTATGGAAAGTAGGAAAGAATGATTTTGTGTATGAAGAGGACATAAATTCTAGTATGGAAAGTATTGAAAGTTATAATGATATGCATCCAGACATCCCAATGAATGAAATTGAATTTTATGAATTATTTGGAAACTTGGATTCCGATACTGACTCTAAAGGATTTATATGAAATTTTCACTCTTTGTATAAAGGTTGTATTCAAAACACAAAAAATATGCTAAATAATTCATGTAATTTTTCTCTTCCATTGGAATTTTTATGTGGTGCTTACAATATTCTCTCTAGTGTACATTTTGCACTCTTCTGTTAGACAGTTGCAAATTTAAAAAATATCAAATGTTTTATTTTTGTGATCATGCAACAAGCCAGTAACATTAACAGCTTCAAAAATTAAACAACTAATTTTCATAAAACGAGTAACTCATTTCATTTAAATTCAATTTTTTTGAGAAATGTAAGCTAAAGAAATAAAAAAGTGCTATATTTGGCACCATTCTGCTTGTGCCCTGGTAATGGAAAAGTATCTATTTTTGCAAGACCAGTGGATCCATATATAAACCAAACTCCATAATTTAGCTTTAGGAAAAGTTACAAAATCCTTAGCTTATACTTGAAATATACGGCATTATTTCTACTAAATTTAATGCAGTCTTTAACATGCTTAGTTCATACGTTTATTTAAGCTTTTTTTCATTAATTAATCACTATGCATTAAATACATTAAACATAAACTACATTACACAGCTGCCCAGACAAGATAGTGGTTGATGACTCTGACAGCCGTAACAGGTTTGAATATACCGTAGAAGGCATAGATATAAACTGTCCTTTCATAGGAAGTAACGGTGGTCACCTATTAAATGCCTCTGTAATAAAATGACCACTGCTTAATAGTGGCAAAAGCCTATAATGCCTAAAGCCCACCATAAAAAAAAAAAAAAAAAAAACTGTACTGTAAGTATTTTTCTTTTTGGCCATACAAAAATAGAGCAGAGAAACAGGAGTGAATGAAAAACTATATATTCACATTATTGAAACTAAAATGCTTGTATGGTTAAATCAATATAATTTAAAACTGTGTTTTTCCCTTGCTTTGGCGGGGAATTTTTGGGTGAACTATTATAAGTAAAATACATTGGAATGGGTTTATCAGCTAATTCTGGATACAGAAAAGCAAGGATTTTTTATGGAAGATAAATTTTAATTGATTTCAATGTTCCTTGTCCTGCCGAAGTGGCAAATTTGATTGAATTCCTCCTTTCATATTCTTTAAATTTCATTTAAATTAGGGTTTTACCTGCTTTAAGTATTTTAGTTTTAACATTCATTAAATTCTTTTTTACATTTAAAGGATTTTTTGAAATTTATTACTGATGAATTTCAATTTTTGGTCTTTGAGTAAAATTGGTTCTAAATTTCTTATCTAATGTCTTTATTGATAATTTTCCAACAGCTTAAAAATGTGTGAAAATACTAGGCATGATTATACAGAGTGTTTCTAAATGAATATTAGGGTTTTAACACTTTGTAGTATTTATTACACAAAACTTAAAATCATAATTAATACGTGAAATGAAAGAGCAACTCAAACAGTTCTGTTTGTCGGTACGTGCATGTGCCAGAAAGCGCTAGTAGCATAAATTGTGACTAGTGAGCAGAAAGCTTTTTGTGTTCTGCAGTTTGCGGAGACCGAATGTGTAGTTGTGCAACGTGTATTCTGGATTAAGCTCAGATGTGATCCCTCAGGTGATAATAACATCCATAGATGGTATCATCAGTTTGAAAATACCAGCTGCCTTTGCAAAGGGAAGAGTACAAAATGACCAAGGGTTAATGAAGAGGGTGTTGAGAAAGTGACAGTCCTTGACGTGTAGCCTGAAGATCAGTTTGGAAGGCTAGTCGTAAATTAGTAGTTCCAGAAATGACTGACTGGAAAGTTTACTGAAACGCTTACAACTACGTCCTCATCGTTTTTCAGTTAGCGCAGGATCTAAAGCCAATAGACCATGGCTTATGTGCCAACTATGCACGTAAAATGTTGTTGCACGATGATTTTCTGGATCATGTTGTTTTCAGTGATGAATTGACATTTCACCTCAGTGGACATGTAAAGACTCATAATGTGCACATCTGGGGCTCAGAAAATCCTCACGAGGTACTACAATTCCAACGACTCCCCTAAATTGAATGTTTTTTATGCCATATCTCAGCAGAAAGTTTATGGGCCTTTTTTCTTTGGAGAAGCAACTGTAACTGGTACTTCCTATCTTGATGCTCTACAACTATGGTTATTTTCCTAGTGGTAGAAGACGAACCATATAATTTCATTTGACAGCAAGATGGAAAACCGCCTCACTGGCATAACGACGTACGCGATTGGTTGAAAGTCACTGTACTCGACTGCTGGATTGGTCACAAAGGGTCCAATGACAGAGCTTGTTTCACATAGCCTCCCTGCTCACCCGATCTGACGCCATGTGATTTCTGCCTGTAAGGGTTCATAAAAGGTCACGTATATATGCTTCCACTACCAGCTGACCTACCCAACCTAAAAAACAGGTTTGAAGCAGCTGTTGCAACAATTGCACCACAAATGCTAATCAACATTTAGGAAGAACTGGGGTTATCGACTTGATATGTGCCATGTGACGAAAGGTGCTCACATTGAACAATTGTAAGCTTGTAGGTATAATTGTTTGAGTTGCTCTTTCATTTCATTTATTATAATTTTAAGTTTTATGTAATAAATACTACAAAGCATTAAAAACCTGATATTCATTTAGACACAACCTTATTATGTTATTATAAAAATTGTTTTGTAATGAATCACTTTGCTTTGACTACAATTTACTTTTAACTTTAGATGCTTTAAGTTTATTTTACTTCAATCCTGCAGCTATAGCACAGGACAGGTTTAAAATTTTGCTTTTTATTTTTTCATCTTATTAAGTTTCTTATGTATATATATATAGATACATATATAATTTACTACTAAAGAAATATTGATTATATTATCTCCTAAAATTAATTTTAGTATATATATATATCAGTATCTAAAGGCTTCAAATTAGGATTGGTGTGGCTTCTGTCATGGAGAAAACACTACCGAAAAAAAAAAAAAAAAAAAAAAAAAAAACTATTGTATCAATAATTTAGATATTTCCATTATATTATTATTTAATTAGTCTGATTTATTCTACATTATTATCTAATTAGCCTCACTTGTACTGTTACAGCCTTTTTTGTATGTTTTATATATTAATTTAGGGGGGGGGATTATAAAAGGTAAAAGATCACTCCTTTTTATTATCATCTTGTTCCTTGCTTCTCAGAACTTAATCTTTGCTCTTTATACTTCAGATACATATGACATGGAAAATTTAAGTTTTTTAACTCAGTCTTTCACAGTTTGAAAATGAGGTTTAAGCTAATTTTGTAGAAGCCCTATTCATTCATTCCAAAATATGCATCACTAATATCTGCCTTACCTCTCTAGAGAAAGAACCACTGAACAAAGAAAAGAAGCAAAAGAAAAAACTGCTTCAGTTAGAGATCTCTTCAACATTCTGAAATATCCCTTTATTTTTTTTTTAAACATTTTAATTTAACTTACACAAATTTCGAAACTGTCATTTTCCTGTGAGGCTAACATGTTTCAAGAAAACTTTTTATATGAAGTATCACCATCAGTACATATATTTGTATTATATTTCTTACTGGAATTTTTTGTCATGTTTCTAGTATTAATAATTTTACTGTTACAAGCTGCAAACAAATGTTACTCATTCATATCATACTCGGATCTTACATTGTATCCTCATACAAAGATTGCAAAAGTAAGATATCAAAGTTAAATGAAATCAAGCTCTAAAACCGTTTAGAATATTTCATTTTCAAATCTAGTCTTTTTTATAGTAAATTAGATCACTGAGAACCAGTATGAATCCAAATTATATTAGTACTATATATAGACACTAAATGAATACATGAATTGTAAAATTATTAAAATTGTGAAATTTTAGTATTGCAGAGCTAGAGGAAAATAGTAATATATTTAATTAAAAAAATTAAATAATCTCAAAAATTTAACACAGTATTATACTATTGTTAGAACTGCAAACAAAAATTCTTACCCTCACTAAATCTCGCACTAGCTTCATTTTCTTGAGCAAAAGGCAAACCACAATAAACCTTGCATAATATCGAAGTTTCTTTACCATCAGATCAGACCTAGCATAAGAGGGTTATATTAGGTTAATAAATTATTCATTTATTAATTATACAGATTATATTTTAGTTAAGAATTAACAGGTAATATGGTGTTCAAATTTTAACAGGTAGTACAGTGTTTAGATTAAATTCTTTTAATATATTTTTTTAGCGCTGAATTTAAATTTTTAGAGCAGAAATTTTTAGATATTCTGAATTCAGTAGAATCCTATATTCTATAATCAACAGCAAAATGTCAAACATATCCACTATCAGAAAATTTCAAACTACAATAAAATTATTGATATGTTAGTAATATACCAGGTGATCCAAAAGTCTATTAACATTTGAAAATTCAATAATTCACTGAATAATACAGAGGTAAAAACTGACACACATGCTTGAAATGTCAGAGGGTTTTATTGAAAACAAAAAAGTTCTTAAAATGGCCAACAGATGGCACTTCATATGATAACAAAAGCAATAGCAAAGACTATGTTCTTCATAACAAATGTTCAACATGTTAGCCATCATTCATCAACAGTGCCAGTAGTCGAGGGACAATGTTGTGAACAGCACTGTACAGTATATCTGTAGATATGATGAGACACTGCCATTGGATGTTGTCTTTTACCATCCCTAATAAGGTTGGATGATCGTGGTAGACTTGTGATTTCAGGTAACCCCACAACCAATAATCACACAGATTGAGACCTAGAACCTGAGAGGCAAAGCATGAAGGAAGTGCTGGCTTGGCACATGATGCTCACCAAACGATGTGTGCAAAAGGCCTTCTGCATGTGTAGCAATAAGGAATGAAGTGCCATCCTGCACAAAAGTCATACCTTCCAAACCACCTTACCAGGTTACCAGATAGATAAGCCAGACCAGGAATGATGCAATTCTGTAACATATCAGATTACCTCGCACCCTTATAGAATATAGGAGATTACCTCGCACTGACAGTTTGAATAGCAGAACCATGCATTTCCTTGAAGAAAAAGGGTTTGATTACGACTGATGTGATAAATCCACAACACACCATGACCAACGCCTGGAGGCAAGAATAGAAAACTGACAAAGTCATGAAGCGACTTATTCCCTTTCTCACTGCAGCTTGCAGTGTCACTGGTATTTTGCTGCTCAGTGCCATATGTTGGCCTTTTTTGTATTTCCCCCTTCTTTCAATAAAACCCCAGGTCATTTCAAGCATGTGTGTCAACTTTTACCTCTCAACCTACATTATTCCGTGAATTATTGAATTTTCAAGTGTTAATGGACTTTTGGGTCCCTCGGTATTTTGAAAATGTATAAGCCCCATTTTCTTTTAGGAAATATCTTAAGTTAGCACATGTTTTCTCTAATTAAAAGAAATCTGAAGAACATTTTGACTTTTACAAAATAAAATGAGAAAGCAAAAAACAAAAAAGTCAGTCAATGCTTAATTTTGAAACTTACTGCTATTAATGATTATCAATTTATTCTAACAAAATTAAAATAATTGTACATATAATATTGCTAATATATTTAACAAAAGTTTAGTGCCATTTACAATAATTTTATGTCATAAGCTAAAGACTAAATCCAGTATTGTGCTAGAAACTGCTCAGTTATCTCTATCATTAAATAATGAGAATCTGTAGGTATGTTCTTTGTATTGTGATGAAATGGAAGCAATTAGAACCACCAAATTGTCAACATGCATAGTTCCCCAACTTTTTAAACATGTACACCTTGAACCCTAAAACTTGAATTTCAAATTAGTTTTTTACTTATTTCAGATTTTATGCCAATTTAACTAATTTTTTTATTAACAAACTCAGCAATTTAAATGCAATATGCTGCCACTCTTCTAAAGCATCTATGCTATTAAAATCTGTGGGTGTGAGTCTGTTTGCAGCATTATCTCCTCTGGAACAGCAGGAAGTTGAGTTTGGAGAGAGGTACACCTGGATTTCACAAATTTGTGGGAAGCCATTTCGATCATTCTCATCTTCGTACAACTTTAATTGGCCAAGATATTAATTAAAAACTCTGAAAACACTCATTTTTGCCTTCATTTTTCTGAGTGGCAGCAGTCTTAACACACTGGACATAAAAATCTCCTTTATTTTGAAACATGTTGCCAGTGCTCGGTTTAAAATCAAAGAGTTTGTTAATAAAAATTTTTAAGTTTTACAATTAAAAATAGCAGCACTAAACATTTAATATATTATTTCGGGTTCCAAAAATTCATGGGAAGCAATTTTGTCTACTCTCATCTTTGTACAACTTTAATCAGACAAAATATGAATTAAAAACTCTGAAAATATTAACTTTCACACTCATTTTTTTAATGGCAACAGTCTCGCACGTTACAGATAAAAATGCTTTATTGTGAAAAGTGTTGCCACTGTTTGCTGTCTAATCGTAAAGTTTGTTAATAAAAAATTTGTAAGTTTTACAAAATATGAAATAAAAATAAGACTTCTTAAAATCAGCAGAACAGAAAATAAAATTTATATTGTATTTTCTCAGGGTTAGTGTATTGTATTGTCAGTGTACTATACACTGATATATATAGCTTAGCACAGAGGCAGTGTCATAGCCAATGAGTTACTACTGAGGCATGTCTCTTGCTTGTTGAAAACAACACTGATATATTTTAAATAGCCATTCTGATCAGCCATTATTTAGAGACGCTGGCTGCTGCACTATTGGGTCAGGTTCAATTTACGGAGAAGTTTTGGATGCTGCTATAGATTAAGAAGATTGCCAAGTGAATTATTCTTGGCGTAAACTAAAAAAATTGCACCAACATAAATTTTTTAATTTCTCAATAAATTTCTCACGAAAAATGACAAAATTAATTAAAGTGCAGTGTACACCTTGCCCAAAAAAAAAGGGGCGACAGTCCTATATCTCCCGCTATACTAGACTGATTGTCGAAATTTTAACTTATGCTGTCTATGCTTGTCTTGAAAGCACGACTTAGGATATATATTAGATTTACAAGAAAACCCGGCGGTCATACAAAATGACCGCTGTTCTAGATATTATAAATTGTAATTAAAATGATATGTGCAAAGGTGTCTACTAATTCAAACTGAATTACCCATAGCAGGTGGCCAGGACACCCCTTTGCTTACTGCACCACAGGGTTTTCCTCTTCTACTTGCTTAATTGCTTAAAGTAGAGTGCAATGAAGGAAACCACTGGTGGTACATTTCTTAAAAGCCACTGCTAGCTCAATAAATAAAGGTGATTTAAATAATAAAATGTTAATTCACAAGTCAAAGATCTCTTTGCACACAGATCTTTGACATGTGAATTAACATTTTTGTGTAGATGAACAACATTTGTTGTGTAGATCTTTCCATCATTTTTAAGCTCAGCTTGCAGAGGACCATCCATTATTTTTAATTTTATGTCCGTTCTCACAAACTCTTGAAGAGGCAACATAAAGATGACCGTGTCCAAATGTTCTCAGGTAACAAAATGTCAACACACTTAAGCGTTTGGCCCTGAGACTTATTGATGGTCACAGCAAAGGCAAGTTGTACAGGAAATTGTCTATGTCTCAATTGAAACGGCAACCCTGTGCCGTGGCAACTTCACCCCATTGGCTAGTACAGTTACACAAGCAACCAATAAACTATTGGCGACAAACAGAAACTTAAGCCGCATATAATAAAGATATTTATTTATTTCATTTTATTTGTTTTTTCATCGTTGCCGATTTTTGCTGGGTGCATATTTCCGAATTCTATTATATATAGATGTAAAATTTATTTATTAAATGTTAAATGCACGTGCTCTTGTATTTTTAATTTTTCCGGCTTAGCTTTCTCATAATATTTGTCACGCACTGCACTGCACAGAGAATAAAACAATTAACAATAATGCAAGCAACCAATAAACTATCAGCGACAAACACTTAAGCTGCATATATATAAGATATATAGCATTATTCTATCATACGTATTTTGAAATAAAATTGAAATTTTCTGGAATAAACCAATTTTTTCCATATTTCGATTGTACTATTCAAATTATGCCTATATAATTAATTTTGTCATTTTTCATGAAAAATTTATTGAGAAATTAAAAAATTTATCTTGACGCATTTCCCCCCCTTCCCAGTTTGCGCCAAGAATAATTCACTTGGCAAACTTCTTAATCTACAGTAAGGATGTCAAACTCGCGGCCCACGGGCCACATGCACAACAAATATTTTATCCACAACAAATATTTTTGCGGCCCGGCCAATATATCGGCAAATAATAATATATAATAATAAAATAACATATCGACGAAGAAAAAAATGAAATGTTTACTGCTAAGTAATTAACGATAATTTATTCAGTGTTGTTAGATTACTCACTGCGAGCTGACACACACACTACTTAAATTACAAATGCGTGTGAGTAGCTTGCATTCAGCTATCTTCGGCTTTTGGGGGACATGTGCACTCAGAACTTGTACGCATCCCGATAGCCGAATGCAGCCGAACTCATGGTCTTAGTTTTCCAATCATAGTTTTGTACGATATATTGGTGCATGCATGTGCATGCACTTTGCTTTATTATTAATTATTACTTAACTCATATTGTTACGGATTTCATAGTTATTTATTTAGTTAGTTTTTTTATTTAGAATTGTAATTAGATTTGGCTTCATGTTGCCTTAGCACGCAGACGATTTTTGAAAACACAGCTGCGTTGGAAGTTTAAAATAGAACAGCACGTGCATTTAATACCTAATAAATAAATATCTCGTAATTGCTGTTGCCATCCACAAAATCCAGATATTTATAGATGTTTCCAGTTATTCAGAATTAATTTATAAGCTTATAAAAGCCGAGAACAAACAACTCATCTGAGTATTAGCTGTAGTTCTAGCGAACTGTTTGTTTACTTAATGCTGTGATTGATTTGTAGCGATTCGCTGTGAGATAGAATTAGTTTCTTCTCTGTTTTGAATTGATTTTGCTAAACGTTTTGAATTTTGTGATATTGTTAGAATATTTTTGAAGAAATAATTTCAGCATTTTGATTTATCTCTTGTGGAAAGAATAAATTTTGTTAACTTTTTTTAATGTTAACCGTGTTTTATTCCAGCCCTTTGTATTCAGTATGTCTATATCAAAACCAAGTGGTAGTAAAATTAAACAAAAAATCGCTGACGAACCATAGAATATTCCAAGAAAATGGGAATTAGAATATTTTGCTGTGAAATAAAAGATAAAATAATCTGCTTGATATGTAATAATACTATTAATGTACCAAAGTTATATAATATTAAACGTCATTATGAACAACACAAATCAAAATATAACAATTACGAAGGATTAATGAGAGAAAAAAAGTTGAAAGAGCTCAAGTTAGGAGTGAAAAAGCAACAGTCCGTGTTTAGTAAAATATTTCAAGAAAGTGAAGCGGCGGTACATGCAAGCTACGTCTTGTTCGAGTTGATAGCTAAACATTCGAAGCCTTTTACTGACGGTGATTTCATCAAGGAATGCCTAATGAAAGCTGGAGAAATTGTTTGTCCTAGAAATGTGAAGGCTTTTTAATCAATTTCATTGTCACAAAATACAGTTGCGGAAAGAGTTACTGATTTAGCCGCGAATTTAAGTGGTCAGATCAAAGCAAAATCATCTAGTTTCGAAAGTTTCTCCATTGCCTGTGACGAGAGCACGGACATTAGTGGCAAAGCTCAATTAGCAGTGTTTCTTCCTTCTTGTGACAAGAATTTTAACATTTTTGAGGAATTACTGGAAACTAATACCGATGCCTGGTACTACCACAGAGAAGATAATATTACTTGTGTTTTTGGACTTCTGGCAGAAATCAATCTACCTTTGGCAAATTAAATTCTGTAGCTACAGATGGCACTCCATCAATGCCGGGGTGAAAAACAAGGGCTTCGTACATTACTAAGAAAAAAACTTAGTGAAAATTCACGGTTCAAACATTCATCATATGCATTGTATTATACATCAAGAAGTCCTACGCACGAAAGTAATAAATAGGAGAATGTTTTGTCATATATAAAAAGTTATAAATTTTATAAGATCTCAAGGTTTAATTCACTGCTTTCTTAAGTGAGTTAGATAGTGAATATTCGGGTTTGTCCTACTATACCGATGTATGTTGGTTATCTTGCTCCAAGATTCTCACACAATTCCAGGATTTGAAAGAAGAAATATACCAGTTTTTAAAAACGAAAAATCAAGACGTAAGTTTGTTTTACGATCCAACATTCGGATACAAGATTTATCTTTCTTGGTTGATATAACAAAACACTTAACGATTTAAATTTATCGTTACAAGGAGAAGATCATATCATTACGAACATGTTTGACATAAATTAAAGCATTCAAATGTCAACTAGTTCTTCGGGAAAAAGAACTTAAAAATGAAGATTTGACGCACTTCCCGACGTGCAGCATGAACAAATCAAGTTTAGATGATACTTGTTCGTATCAAAAATACGCAGAAAAAATTGCAAATTTAACAACTGAATTGAAACGAGGTTTATGATTTTAGTTCCCTCGAAGACAAATTTTTTTTGTTTCTTCAAATTTTCCATAAGTATGACTCAGTACCCCCAGCCATATGCAAATGGAGGTGATCGAGATTCAATGCAACTCAAATTTGAGAGAAAATTCTTGAAGTGCGCGTGCCTGAATTTTACAAATATTTACCAGCCAGGTTTGAAAATACTCGAAAATTCCATATGAAATTATTTCCATGTTGGTAGCACTTATCGGTGCGAGCATTATTTTCAGTCATGAAAGGTAATAAGCTCCTATTAGAACCGTATAATGATGCTCACCTTGGGTCAGCATTGAAAGTTATCACTGCAAACAAATTTCTCCCGAAATAGAAAAGATAATAGCAGAGAAGAGATGTCAAGTATCAGGACGTAAAACATTAAATTTTTCTTGTTGTTTTCTATATAATATATATAGTTTATTATTGTATTATTCGAAATAAATCTACGTTTCTATGAATATTGATTTTTTTTTCCCCCCCTGCCCACCTAAAGTTAAACCTTGTTTGTTTGGCCCAAGTGTACCTATAAGTTTGACATCCCTGATCTACAGCAACCTATTTTTTCCTATTTTTCATTGTACACAAGCGGAAAAAGGTTATCACTGATATTCTAAAATAATTTTAACAATGTACATTAAGCCATATTTGGCGTTATTATCGCTTATAACAAATATGCCAAATTTCAACAGATATATCTTAAGAAATTTTTAATAAAAAACTCTTAATTTTTTTAAGGTATGATTAGAAATACATCTACTTTAAGTTGACGGTAAAAATTTTATAGGTTACAATACAAAATATTTTTTGAAAAATTTATAAAAATTATTTTAAAATACAAATTTTAAAGCCAAATCATAAAAAATGGGCTAATTTTATTTGGAATGAACCTAAATTTCAAAATAAGTTTCAAATAAGGAGAATCAAATAAGTTAAATAAAAAAAAGAGAGATTATGAAATGTATACCAAATTCAATTAACATGGAGGAGCTAAAATTTTGAAAACTAATTTTTTTAAAAACTACTCGCACGATTTTTACAAAATGTGGCACTTAGGCATAATCTGAGTTGATATATGGAAAAAAATTGGTATGTTATTTCAGAAAAAAATCCAATTTTGTGTCAAAATACCTAAGTTAGAACAATGCTGTATTTAAATTTAATATGTATCCTAAATTGCCCTTTTGAGACATGGAAAATGCAAGTTAAATTTCGTTAATTGGTCCAGTAGAACGGGAGATATAGAACTGTCCCCCCCTTTTTTTTTGTGCAAGATATACCTTTGTTCCAAATTTCAATAATTTATCAATCATACCAGATGTAATCTTTATATTTCAGACTGCAGTATAACAAAAAATAGCTACTTAACGTGCTAGTAAATAATAATAAATACTGTCTACTATCTGCTATGGAAATTATTATATATTAAATAAAAGTTTAAACAAACCTTTCTTCTTTACTTGCTTTACTGTAATAACCTCTCGCTCTGATAGCAGCATAAAAGGAAAAGGTCTCATTCAGGTAATTTGTTTCACTAGTTCGAAGGCTAGAAACAAAAACAAAAAAAAAGAAAAGAAATTATTAAGATTCATTTCGATGAATTATTGTGAAAAAAATCTCATAACTTTATTATATGAGTTAACTTTAAAATGATCTGTGAAATAAATTTATAAATAAAAAACTTATATATCTACTATTGACTTAAAGCTAAATATGCACACACAATAGCTCATTGAATTGAAACATATTGTTACAAGGAGTGGTAAGATAGCTTCTCCGTAAAGCAGTTTCAGGGTTGCCATCAAATAGCAAGGAAGGCAGGTTGCCACATTTGGAAAGAAATTGCCCATTTGGCGACAAAATTGGCAATATGTCATGGACGGATGGAGAACATTCTGGAATGAATTACCGGTTTAGCCCAGAATGTTCTCGAACACCAGTCAAAAGCTATATAAACCCTGTTGGTATGCGGAGAGTCAGTTAGTATCGAGTTGGTGTCTCGTCTAGCAAGTCAATCCCTGCGAAGTTGATTGAGTTGACAGCCGGGCAGCGAGTACCGAGTGGGTCGTCGAGTGCACTGAAAGGGTCTCGTATTGTATTGCGGTTAGTGCATCATTGAGAGAGCGTGTTGAGCTCCAGGAACAACTGAAATGAAGAGTCGAGAGCTGTGCTCTGTGTGTCATCGAGTGCATCACAAGTTGTAGCGTGGAGAGTCTCGAGAGTACGTGGAGTTCCGAGCACGACCAAGCAGAGTCGGGAGCTGTACTCTGGTGCTTTGCAGTGAAGCTGTTTCTACCGGATGTTGATACCTGAAAGCTGTGTCGCTATCATGTCGCATGTTATAACAGTTCAACGACTGTAAACGAGATTTTGGAGTTGTCCTGATTAATACCGGCCAATAAAGTGTGTTTCGATATTTCATTAAGTAGTATTGTCATTATTCATTCCAAATCCTCATAAACCCCGTACGAACGTGAAGGAAGAAAATAATGTAACAACTATAATCAGAAAATATTGAATTATCAGAAAGAAAAACGTAACAATATTATGACCAATTACAGTGTACAGTGTAATATTAACTTGCAATTGAAAAAACTAACTAAATTTTAAATAAATATTTAAATCTTTCAAAATGAAACAAAATTATTACTCAAGAGGGAAAAAAAAAAAAAAAAGCATGCCAAAGTAAAACATAAAATTAAGCAAAAAATTACAGATCATCAATGGAAAATAAATCATAAAAAAATATCGGTACTATTAGATTTTCACAGCTACAGTTTTCAAAACGACATCATGACTGTCACCAAATTTTAACTACTCGCATATAGTTTGTGACTTTCATATCTCCAAGACTGCTTTCAGTCATCAAAAGGCTTATCTTTCCCAGGGGATTTCTGCCACATGAATTTGGAAAGATTCGACTTTAGATGACATCGAGCCGTACCCCTTCGCTTTTTGATTCCCTATTTAAGAGCCCCACAATCTTTACACATTTTTGGTATTAACACCAGTTGTAGGGTCAACAAAATTAAAATGAGTCATTCACAGCTAAATGGCTGTAACCACCTTTTCAAGTTTATTTTATATGCTCACTAACAAATTGAGTATATTGTCTATCCTTCCTAAACGTGGTCTTTAATTATTGATAGCAGTGTGTTTGCTTCCCGATTTGAAACCAACACAAGAAAGCCCTCTACACTTTTACGGCATAACCCACCAAATACCCACTGCTGTGGAAGTACCCTGCCAGCATTTTTTTTTTTTTTTTCCTTGCATGAACTAACTCTTGTCAGTTTTGGCTATTTTTCCAGGGCCACATATTCATTCATCTTTTAGGTTGTTGAAGTAAATCTAGCAAACAAACCTCTCTCATCAAATTGTTTTAAGTCAATCGTGGTACTTTGATAGATGTTGAGATGTTTATCACACCACTTAAGCCAGCGGTGTCCAACCTTGTGCTCGTCGATTGTTTTGCATGTGCTTGTCAGCCCGATACTTTAAAAATAACCATTAATTTATATTTCTTAATTGTTAAAATATGGTAAAATATGGTAGTCATAAGAGATATCTCGCAAGATGTCATAAAATAACTGATTGCTGACTGATGAACTTGATAGCGAACATGGACTCTTATTGCTCAATTCCGATGTTAGACGGCTCAGCAGGGGAAAAGTACATCAACGATTTGTAGAACTTCTTTCGCCAATAAAGCAGTTTTGGGAATCCGGAAATGAAATTTATAAAGAATTGGACAATAATAATTGGTTATCCGATCTGTATTTTCTCGTGGATATAACAGCTAAACTGAACAAAGATATCCAGAAAAAAAAAAAAAAAACTTTTTCAATTGACTGAGACTAACTTCAGATAAAGTTAAATTTGTGGATAAATCAGTTGAAAGAAAAAAAATTTCACCCATTTTCAGAATTTATCAAGCCATATTAATAACCAATACTCGGAAAACAGAGAAAAAATAGAGAAACAGAGAAATACTCGGAAAACCTAAATGCACTGAAAAATAATTTTGAACTCTGTTTCTCTGATTTCCATAAAGTTGAACCAATATTATTACTCATCTCAAACCCATTTGCCGAAATTAATATTTCAGATGTATCACATAAGATTGGAAATATGTTTAACAAAAATGTTGATGTTTAGGAAATGTGCTCGCATAGGCCAAAGGTTGGGTACCACTGACTTAAGTGACATTAATGCCACTGCCCAACAATAAATAAAACATAGTGCTGTTATTCGTAACAGCACTATGTATTCTAGAACCACTAAACCAGTTGTTGGATCTAATGTTCTTTTTTGTTTATTACTTTTCCCGTTCCACCTCTACAATACTCTTGTTAACATGCAGTTTAATTTTGTGGCAAAGTAATACAACTTTTTTCTCGAAAAATAATAGGGCAGCTTCTCCACTCCTCGGTAAATTAAAAATTGTCAAAATTTTTTCCCACTGTCTGCAAAAATAAAGTAGCACCAAAACATCTTTTAAAAAAGGAAAAACTAAAACAT